AAGTGACACGTTGAATATCACAGTCACTGGGGTCGCGATATATTGTGCAATATGTCCCAAGATTTTGGGGTCTAGTCCATCTAGTCTTGTTGACTTTTCCGTCTCTAAGGTGCTAAGAGCCTTAAGTACATCGTCTTGATCGAAGACCACGGTGAGATGTGGTTTGTTGACTCTGTATTTGGGTTTGGTTCTCTGTCTAGAGGAGGTTCCCGAGTGAAAACTGCCCCAAAAGTCAGTCATAGCCTCTACTTTTTCCTGATCTTCCTCTATCATTTCAGATTTGCTCCCTTTAATTAGGTTGGAAATCCAATGATGCATCCTTGTTCTGTAGTTTATGTACGAAAAGATTCTCTAAGGCTGCTTGAGTCCAGATTGTGCCAACCGCATTTCATATTTTCTTTGAGCTTCCTGAGTTTTAATTATATACGTGCTTCTTACCGATCTGTAGCGTTCCATTGTACCTGCTACACCAAGGCTGATAGCAACATTCCAACATTTCTTATTTTGTCTTGGTAAACGTCGAATATCCCGGCCTACCCAGGGAAAGCCGTACTTTTTCCTCTTTGGGACTGTCCAAGGTATGTATGGTTGAGTTACTCGATTGTATAACTGCCTGAAATAAGTCCATGCCTCTTGTACTGAAGCCCTTGAGTTAATTTCCTAGTTTTCAACCGATGCTGCGGAGTTGATTCCCTTCCATATATTAGGACGGGCCGGCGCATCTGTTTGACAGGCAATCTCAGCCATGAATTTTAATAACATGACTGCATGGTCACTTCTCCCTAATGGTGGGAGGAAAGACATTTGACCAACGTCATCACCGTGTGAGAAGACTAAATCCAAATGAGAAGAGGAGCTTCTTAAGTCATATCTTGTAGGATTTCTAATGTGTTGGAGTAAAGCTAGTGCAATCGAGGTTTCTAACAGTTTGCAGTCGAATGACGTTATCGATGAGCCTACTTCTAAATTAACCCAGTTTATATACGGTGCAATAAAGTCCCCTACTATAAAAGTCTGATGCTCTACTGACTGAGCTAACCGGGCATAAATAGGATGTCGCTGCCAGGATTCGAACCTGGGTTAGTGCGGTCACAACGCAATGTCCTAAATAAATAATCCCCTACTATAAGGCTTTTACCTCTATTGCACCGGGACTTAAGTTTGTTTAGGAGGAAGTCATCTAATACACATTCTGGACTGCGCTATATTACAACTAATTCAATATCTTGCCATCTACATTTCAGCTTGCAGTGCACCAGTTCACATGTCCCTGAATCATATGCCACTGTCTCAACTGCTCGTATGGTTAGGGTACTTTGCGTGTACAGGGTAACCCCACCTTCCCTACGGTTTAATCTATCAGCCATAGTTTAAGAGAAGACAAAGAGTATATATACCCGCGCCATTGTAATCGATTCTGAGCCGTGTCATCCAAACGACTATCTCATGATCTCTCCACTTATAAAACGTGGTTAGCACGTAATAACCACACTTAGCCAACAGAATTGTTCTCATCTTTAAAGGACCAATTATGACTATGTAATTCCCTTTTACAAGCTGATGAGAGTACATAAAAACTAGCTGAGTCAGGTGTGATGGAAGCTCAGAAAATTTTTAATTTAGCGAGGTATAATCAAATGATACTAGTGTTAGCAGTCAGCTTGATGAGACTGCTGACCAAGCGTTTGTAACTCAATAGACAGTTTTTTTTAATTACTTAATAGCCTAAAACCTGGTAAGTTAGTGAATCCAGATTAGTTAGATCTTAGGATACTGGTATCTCTCAAGGACACGATTTCAGAAGCTTTCATACAACTATTCAGTATATCTTCCTGAATTCAACTCTCAAGGATTTGGAAGGTTGCTGCTGGTTACCCCTAGTTTTAGGAATATAAATACTAGTATCCGACTACCATCATTTTAGCTCTGCAGAGCAAGACGGTTTTCACAAAGGACGTTTGGCTGACAAATTCACTGGGAAGTATGATGATAATAGTTCAAGATAGCAATATATATGTTTATTTACTCATCTTTGAACAATAATATTGTAATTTGGCAGAAACCTAGATTCTTCACAGGAATGCAATCGCTTAGCGCAACTTTCGGAGTGCCTGATGAAAATACTTATTTTAAAAACGATACCTTATAAACAGAAGTATTACGACCAGGTGATTGTTAATTAGAATTTTTCTGATTGGCAGACATTTAACGACTTTACATACCAACCTTTTTAATAGGGGAAAATGTAAACACGTTGATATTTTTTATACTTTTTTATTCTATATCCTTGAGAATAATTTCAACAAACAAACGTTTTGATTTTTTTTAATTCCATATAGGATTTGGATTTATCACGATTCTTATTGACTTACCTTTTTGAATTGTCTACAATGATTAGTAGACTTGACTAATTGAAATAAGACAACTTAAATTTTCTATCCTTTATCTCTGATAATGGAAAATTATTGCGTAATGAAAATTTACTGTTAACACCGCATTTATTTGGCGACTTGTATGACTTCAGAAAGTGGGAGGTTTGTTGAGCAAATGTCTTTCCAAGGAGCATAATACTTGCATCTAATTTTCTTCGACAAATGTAAGTAGTCAGTAGTGATTATAACACTATTATTAAAAATTCTTGTCATATAGAAGTTCAGTGAAAAATCACTTTTTTTTTGCTAAAGGCACCATACATTTCACTATTGTTTGTTTATTTCCGTCATTGCTCTACTCATTTTTCTTTGTTTATGAATGATTGGTTGCATGGGTTTGATGGCAGAGAACATATCTTCATTCATGGATCAGTGAATCTCAGTGACTACGTACGAGTTTGTCTCCCACGTTATAAGTTAATGATCCTGGGTGACTCCCAAATCGTAGTAAAAGTTCGATTAAAGCTTATGAACTATTTTTCAAAAAAATTGTTCGTTCAGTCAACGATCGAATTCCTATTTCTTTGTTGTCATCTTTGTAAGCCCAAATAAATGAGAGTTGAGCTCTATGACGAGGCTTGATCTTCATAGTTGCTGTTGTCCTCAAAAGGGTCATAATCTATAGTTACTAAACAGATTGTATAACTCGAAGTTCGATTGCGAAGATGCAAGTGTATTGATTTTGTATCTTAGTAACATCAAACATTGTGCTTTCCCGTGCCCTTAATCCTATGTTTCACTTGTTTTCCGAATATTTTCTTTGGAAACGGATGTGAAGAGTAACACAAATAAGAGCTATACATAAACGCACCAAGTCTTTGTTTCTGTTGAATAAGCCATCTGAAGCTTAAAAATCTATATGACTTTATGGACCAATATGTTTTTTTGGCTGTCTCTAGTTTTTTTTTTTTGATCTACTGTGTCTCTTATAATGAAGAGGCACAAAGCTTAAAAAATGTGTGTATTGGCTGGAAAGATTTTTTCTATACACACCTCTGCTGATAGAACCATTTTCTTTTCTACTTAACAAAACGTCAAGGAAATGTAGTTTATTATCCATTTCCTCTTCACATGTAAATTTAATTGCATGATGTTTGTTATTAAATCGTTCCAGCAGTTGTTCTTTACTAATGTTCTGATCTGCACACATTTTTTAAGCTTTGTGCCTCTTCATTATAAGAGAAACTTAGTCAAATGCTTAGCAAGTAGAGCCATGAAGATATGCTCTGTTGACACAATTGAAATGGAATTAGAGCAAATTCATAATAGGTTGATTGAAATGGGTTATCTACAGGGTTTCCTGAAGAAACACTTGCGTATAACAAACAAGAAGATAGTGACACTAACAGCTAATAAGAAACCTCTTTTCTTGAAGCTGCAATTCAATGGTGATGTAGCTGGTGATGTATTGCGTGATAGACTGACTAGAGCAGTCAAGAGAACGTTTAGTGCTGCCAACCTCTGTCTATCGTATTCGACCCGATCTATGGTGATTCCCCAACTGAAGGACAAGTTACCTGGTTACGCCACTTCTATGTGTATCTACGAATTCAGCTGCTCCTGCGGAGAAAGCTATATTGGGCGCACAACCAGGCAACTGAACCAAAGAGTTAGTGAACACCTCCCATCGTGGTTAGGAAAAGGTTACGTAAAGACAATACGCAGCTCAGTTCTTTCACACTTAATCGATAGTGGTCATGTAGTGGACAGAAATAAGTCATTTAAAGTTATTTATCGTATTCCCACTAATTTTCCCTATGGTGTTCGATCTCGTCTCTTACACATAGCAGAAGCTATAGGAATTCCAGCCAACAAGCCGAGTCTTTGTGTTCAGAAGAAATTTGTAACACCCTTATCTCTCCCTTGGCCTTAATAAATGAATTTATTTATTATTTTCTTTTCAAACCTTCTCTTTGTTTATTAATTCTTCTTCACCCCCTCCTACTATTTTATTTTTATTTTTTCACGGTTCAATTATCTAGACACTTCTCATTACGTCATCTTATAATAATTTTTATAAATGTTATCTCACTATCTATATTTTTCTAATCATTGACCTATTTCCGATTATGTAACATTGATTTGAGCCTTTATTATTCTTATAAAAACTAGTACACCTGTCATCACACTATCTATTTGTACTTTTCACATATTATGTAATCGTTTTATTCATCGTTATCATTGATTTATAAACTACCTTGATTGGTTTAATAATTTCGTATATGCATATAAATATTACTGTATATTAGAGTAAAGCCTGATGAGGATCTAATCGAAAACAATATTGTTCGCTTATATATGTTGTTCTAAATTTACATTATGGGAATATTTCAGATTATTACTTGTCAATTTTTTTTAAAAAGTAAACCAACCTAAATTAGAAGTATTTAAACAAATTGTTTCTAAAAATATTAATTTAGTGGGTTGTAACCAGCCATCGATTACATGGTTCTAAGTAAATAGTTACACAGAAAGAGGGGCTGTTGATAAAATTTAAGAAATACATAAAAAATAAACAGCAGGCGTAAGTGTCATTAACCGAGGAGTCCAAATGTTAATGGCAAGTAGCATCAATGATAACCAAGGCTTCTAAGTTAAGACATCTTTTATAATGGTGATCCCAATTAGATAAGGGGAATTGAAGGGTGTTTTGTAAATTGACATGCGAAATATGATTAAACCTAAGGGTCGTGGTAAGAAGAGAAAGAGATCTAATAAACCTTTTGTATAAATAAGTCAGATTTTAAGTTATGGGTAATGATATAAAGCATTAATTAACCAATTTACTAGGTACGTGGATATGAGTCGCACTCTAATTGCTAAGACCTATGATACTAATCTGTTTCTCAAACCGTGATAAGTGGGGTTCGAATCGTAGACCTAGTAACTGAGAGCCGAATGCCTTAACCACTTTATATCACTCCAAATTTCATGATGAATTTAAGGCCAAATACCCTAAATCTACTACATGTTACACAACAGAAGTAACTAATCTGTGTTGTCCTTATATATCCTATCGGATCGTAAGTAAGGAGTCACAGTTTTTTAAAATTTATCCATGGTTAGGTTGAAGGATATGAGATATTATGACTTTATCGTAGATTGTTCCCTACTAGCCATCCTACCATCGTTTCGTCAACTTTGATGCGGGTGAAATTTCTGATGTTCCGTGTATGTATAACTTAAAAATTTTAGCAACTATTATTATTTTCAATTGTCTTTCAGATGTTTCCTGTGTTTCATTCCTCTTGCCCCTCCCAAAGGATTATTGATGACCTTTCTCTGTTTTTCCGTCTCCCTTGTGGCTGTAACTTGATTTACCGATTTCCGGATAAAAGTAGTCTCATAAATTGTCTAACTTCTTACCCAGTAATTGTAAATATAAATCAGGATCCAATATTACTGCCGTCACACAAGTCAGTCCCTGCATGGATTGAAGTTAAACACAGTCGAAACATATCCTTATCGTTTTGGTTTGTCATGACAGTACTTTGGATGCTAGTTTGTTGTTCAGTCGGTTTTATTGCAGAGGTAAGTACTTAATATATATATATATATATATATATATATATATATATAGAGAGAGAGAGAGAGAGAGAGAGAGAGAGAGAGTTATAAACATAACATCTGACACGGATGTATGTCTTTCCGAGTCCCTACATCCCTCATCTGGACAAGGGTAAAGGACACTTTGATGTTGTTGTGTTTTCTGATATAGTTGTTTTAGTTACGGAGCTTTCGTTATCATTTTGAACATTTTTCAGCACCTACTTCATGCGAAAGCGAGTTTTTTAGAAATCCTCTGGTAGTCGACGTTTTTCTAATCGAATTTGTAGCTATAACTGTATACATGCATTGATATTAATGATAACATATCTTGTCTCCTCATTGTTAATCTATGACCATTTATGCGTAAGTGAATTGAACACCCAGTTTTTCCAGTGTAAAATTTATCAAGCCTAGTTCAATTTATTCTGTGAATGATGATGGGATAAATAGAAGACTCGCTTCTAAAGGAAACAGGTACTGAGGTTGTTATTTAGAATAACAGTGAAAGCTCCATGACTAGCTTAGAAAACATAACACCACCGATAGCGTCTACCGGAGTTACAAGTCTTCCCTATCATTTCAGAAAGGAAATCATTAAGACTAGAAACTAAAGGATGGAAAATAATTTCAGGTTAAATGAGAATTGTTAATCACGATGAAGATGATTGGAAGTGAATGAGTGAGATCAAAGATGCAACCGATTTTGGGTCATTTCACCTAACGTCTCCCACCATTGGTCACGAGTATTGCACGGGTCTTAACCAGATATTTTGTGCTTACCATTATAACTAATTAGCAGCCACTGACTATGTTTAAAAAAGTTCGCCGTTGTTCAGTTGGGCCTAAGTTAATGTAATTGTATTCACTTTACTCAAAATTCCTACTTCGTGATACATTTGGAAATTCTTGATAAAAGGTTGGCGTTAGTAATTGCTTTAATATGATCATAATACTTTGATTTTTTCATAAATTAGAGTTTTAATGATATGATGAACAGTTTTTTGATTGCTAAAATCGATGAGTAGATTGCTGGTCTCGATAGATGTTACATAATGATACGAAGTGTGCTCGAGTGACGTTTGCTCACGAGATCAGAGTAATTGACACAAATCCTCCGAATGAACTGGGTTTTAATAACAAAGTCACTGACCAGAAAAATGGGCTTTTCTTTTGATAAAATGACATACTTTTATATAAAATGTCGACACAAAAGTTAATGTGGTTAAATATCATAGGCGATAGCAGGAAATCAATTTGTACATCACTCATTATTCAATCAGTCAAGTCCTAATTTATAGGCGTAATTTTTGCTCGTCATATCAAAACGATAGTCATGAGTATCGTTAAATCCACTCTGTCAGTTTCCGTTTATTTATCAGTAGACGACCACAGCATCTCAATTTCCTACACACTTCGCAAATGGTTTTATTCTCAAATTTTTTTACTCTAATTTCTTTCGTTGATGTCATTCATATTCATACATTTTCCCTCTCTTTTCAGTCGTACTTTGTCCAGTTAACTTTGTTTTTCTCTGCCGTTATTTTCATTTATATTCATTTACGTAATACCGTTACTGAAGGTAAGTAGTTCCAACCATAAATTTCAACTTATCTGGTAATTTTTCTAAATTACACCTGTTCCATTAGGGGATATATTCAGCAAATGTTAAATCACAGTGTATTTTGTTAGTCAGTTCAAAGCAATCGATAATAAGTCATGAACTCGAGGTTGGGTGCTACTTTGGACTCATCGGAAGGGTATATCTGCAGTCTTAAGAAAAATTGATGCTTCTAGTGGAATTTAAACTCCTTTCACCCAGTGACGCACTATATACCACACCATTGAGCCATTCGGGCTATCAAGTCTGACCACCTTTAAGACTACTCTATTTACACTGATTAACTATTGTTGATACAGTCCGCAAACAAAATTTGCAGAATAAAGTGAATTAATTTTGTCTGATGAATCCTTATCACCCGTGATAAACTTTAAATTACAAAAAGTCATATAATGATAAACATACTTTAGTTAGTGAAGTTCAGATAGATGTTCGAAAAAAGACCGAAAATCATAAGATGAACAGAACTAAAAATCTATAATTAACCTTAGTTAAGATTGATGGGTGTTTACATATTGAGAAGACAGTAACACAGGGTATAGGAGATGGTTTTACAGTTATTATTAATAATAGACAAACGGATCTCATATTTATAATGAAAATAATGAATAATTACGTAATTAATCAACATGATTGAAACCGAGATCAATTTAATATATGAGCATTAATGGGATTACATAAAAGACAAAAGTTTGTTTGATGACAACTATAGCCACTATGACAGAAAGCCTTACCACGCTTTCCTTCAATACACATAGGTCTAATCTAGTACGTCCAATAGTGATTATCTCTGTCTAAGGGATAAAATTGATGTTGATTGTTTGTTAGTTATTTCGAATACGTGACTAATGTCGAATGCTTGTCCACTATGTCTATCAGGGGCTTATCTAGTGCACTTATGAAGAGCCTACTGCTTTCCAGACAAAGGTTTCTAAAAATGTGTTACACATACTTGCCACCGTAAGTACATGTAAGCTTGTAAATCCAGTTGTAGGTGACGTTAGAATACCACTACATATTATTCTACTGATTAATTTTTTCCGTTTTTTTTTCACAGAATCTCTTCTACTCATATCCGGATATGGTTTACAAACATCAAATCGTTACTTTACTGGTCGACGATCATATTCTTCATTTATTCCAGTAGAACGGATTAAAGGATTTCATTTAATAGATTCCGTCAGTCCATTTACTATTTGTACTTATTTAAGTTGTGAATTTGCCAAGGTCACTTCTACTATTAATACTACTACTACTACTACAGCTGATCCACAGAAAACTGAATCCTTATTATTCAATAAAGCTACAACGGCATTACAGACACATTACGATCTTTTACCATTAATGCCAATTACTATGGATAATAAACAAATTCGATTTAAAGGTTGTGATCGTATTCCATTGCCTTATCTTGTATGGATGTTACGTTTAGCGAATACAGTTTTATTTAATTAAATTTCTATGTCGTTAATATCATTCTTTTTTCAATTTTGTTTTGGGAAAAACTATTTTTTTTAGTTATTGCTTACTGTTCAGTCGTTTTTTTAAATAACCCTTATTTATTTTACTGATTGAGCTTATATATTATAGTACATTTTCTCGTCATGAATTCAACTTGCGAAATAAAATGTGACTAATCGAGAAACTGAATTAACAATAGCATTCTTCTAATACTTTTAGAGTTGAACATGGGTAGGGCACGTCTTGATTGTGTTTGAGTATTTTTTACCGTTTTAAGATGCTATACAGAATCGATTTCTCAATTACAAGAAATTGCGTTTATGTACTCTTTTTAGACATCTTGTTGATACAAGGACCTGATCTGACAATGGATAGAAGTTTTGGTTGTAAACTAACTGTACTAAGCCAATATACCCATTTTTAAAGCTTTGTTTGACTGCAATGTAGGCGAACTAGTTGAATGCTTAGTTCGTAGAGCTAAAATTATTTACTCTGAAGGGACCTTCAAGATCGAACTAAAATTTTTCTGTGATCTATTATTGAGTAATAATAAACGTCCTTCAAAGTTCTGAGATAGAATCATAAACTACCGAACAAAGCGCCATACCTCAAAGTTGGTGAAACCAGAAAAACAGTCGTATAATGTATATGAAAGCCCCTACAACAAGCACTCAATATAGAAAGGTAATGGCCCCTCTCCAGCCTCCTAGCAGTGAGACTACGAAGTGAAGATAGACTGCCTAGTTCTACCGGATTATGAGTAAGTAGAAGTCACTGATTGTGTCCGTCTGCGATACTGGGTTTCATAGGAAGTTACAGCTGCACTATTCTGATTAGTATCATTTTAAAAAACTTACTGGGCTTAAAACCTTACCGAAAACGTCTAATCGACCCTCTTTTGAAACAATTCTACGTCAACCCATGTATGATGTACGGCTAATATATACTTGAACGAAAAAACAAATAGTTTTGCTATGTTATACCCCATTGACTGTCCAAAGATCAATGTCCCAAATAGATACTTGATCAGCTGACAGTACACAGTATTTGGTGACGTCGAGTCCTGCAATGATTCAAATCACTACCTCTCCTTACCGAACTCCTCCACAATAGAAGAACTTATTTTAGTCCTTACCCTTTATTGATTAGTTGAGATAATTCACCGTCCTATCAAACTACTTTGTTATCTTTATTCCATAGTCGTACGAACCACGTGAACAATGACGTTATCCATGTGATTTCTTTTTCTTAAGACGAATCTTTTACAAAGTTTTCGTAGACGATCGACAAGGTGATATAACTTCATTTAATAGCTAGTGATCGGGTTACATTCATACTAACAAGTGTGTATGTTATAGTTGTGTCAACCATGTTGTATCTGCAGGCCTGCTGCTTATACTTGGACTCGGTAATTCGTACGACGAAAAGTAAGAGTGGTGAAAATGAATATTGCCCACAAGCGACCTCATTAAACCGAATTACATTAATTTGCATGCTGATTTTCACATAATAGGGAAGAATACAGAATTCCTTCAAAATTACACACTGAATGTAGTTTGCCGTCCTTCATACAAAAGATATAAATGCTAAATCGGACGAAAAGTCTTACCTGTCATAATGAATTGGTAAAAAAGTACTAAGTACCTAATAAACCCATTGAGACAAAAAATAAGAGTTCTCTTTATGGGCAATTCATTTTTAAGGTTATACAGTCACCAATATTTATTTTTCAAAATAATAATGACAAGTTTTGCTAAGCATGGTAACGGTGATTTTCAATAAATAAATGCATAAAAACGTTACTTTTACTAAAGAAACTAAAAATAGTATTGTGGTAAGGAGTTTGAATATTCATCATGAAGATAGATGAATGAGTTGTAATCGGAAAAGGAAGGTTCTGCGTAGTAAGATTAAATGCTGAAATTAAGATGAATTGTAATCAATCGAATTATAAAAACAAGCAAATTAGTTGGGAGTGAAAGGTCTGTACAGAAGGGAAGCAAATGGCTGAGATAAAAAAGGGAAGCTTTTTCAAAAGGTCAGTAGGTTGTGAAGTTTCTTCTGTACATATAATCCTGTCTTTTCTAGATGTTTAGGAAGTGATGCAGCAATGCTAAAAAGATGGAAGATGACTACTTTCGGACGTCTCCAACTCACCTTGTAGATGACCTTGAACGCATGGTCCGCTTTGATCGAATGACCTATGTTCACGAAGTATTGGATTATTGAGCTTCTATTTAACTTTTTTCCTCCTGTTCTCAGTCAGGCCCGGTAGTGTTCGTGGATTTTTCCGAGTAAAATACTCTTCGATCGACCTGTATAGCTGGCCCAACATGAACAGAGGAATTGATAAATGCACAGGAAATCGGTCAAATAACATAATTTGTCCTTAAGATTACTGGTGACCATAGATTGACTGCGGTAAGCTAGTCTCGAAGTTCTGTTGAGTGGGTTAGAAATTCTCTTCGGGATGTCCGAAGCTATAAGGGGTATTTGTACACACCAGTCACCATGTTGGCTACATACCCCGACAATCATGACAAGAAAAACCTGTCAATACTGCAGACTATCTGTTAGTAAAACCTTTACCGGTGAGACATCCAGATCTCATTCGAGAAACTCATCATTACTTTGAATGTATAATGTGCCATATGAAAAGGTTGGAATAACGATCTGAAACGCAAGTTCCTTGTTTATCTTGCAAAACAGGATGAGTTATCCACTACTTCTGATGGTACTTTATGTCTGAATGATCGTGGATTTATTCCTCCTTTATAACGTAAATCTGTTCTTGAAGATCTTCATAGTGGACAATTGGATGCCGAGAGAATGACATCCCTGGCAAGGCTCACATGTTAGCGGCCGGAGATCAATACTGACATATATCGTACAGGAAACCATTGTGGAAAATTTCCTAAGTTGGAAAATCATCCTTCGCAATGGACTCCATGGCCATTATCGTCTGAGGCCTGGCAGAGAATTTATGCAGACAATTGTGGTCCATTTCTCTGCAAATACTATGCATTTGTTATCAATACTTCTCTCAAGTGGCCTGAAGTTTTTTTCACAACCTCACCATATTCTGACATCTTAATCCAAGCATTAAGAAAAGTTTTCAGTCGGTAGGTGGTTCCTATTTTATTAGTGAGTGTTAATGGCTCTGATTTTGCTGCAGAGACAATCACTACGTGGTTGAATGGTATAAGATGCAGACATCTGTTCACTACTACCAGGCACTTTTGTTATAGTGGTCAGGAAGAAAATTTCGTCACGACATTAAGAACTTCCATTAATTCCATTACTGCTTCAAAATTTGATGAATTGGAAAGGGGAGCCGACACAGTACTGCAATCTAGAAATGTTAAACATTCTGTAACGAAAGAGACCCTATCAAAGTTATTAAAAGGAAGGACTCTCTGTTGAAATATGAGGTGTTTAGAGTTTGCATTAGTTATGTTTTATTGTAGAAATAATCTCTGACCAACCAGGGAGATTGTGGCGAAGAATGCTGAAAAATATATGGTTTGAATTCCTAAACAGATCAATTTGCTTTAAAACCCTGTTTAATTCTATTACAAATAGTTTTAATTGTGCATAGATTTTTGTCCCATAACCAGTATATCATATCTAGAAAATCTATCACAATTATTAAAGCAAAACACAGATCCGTATGAAAGTAGGTTTAATATAGAGATAATTATAAGTAATTAATATTCATTTAAGTTTATATACAATTTCTTTGAATATAATCAATAGGAAGGATAATATTTGGTTACTTTTCAGATTGTAAGATAATATAGAAAGAGAGAAATGAAAACTTCAAAGATTAAATGTACTTAGATAATTTACTTGCCGTTATTATTATTATTTGTAATTTGTGTATCATTTTACTTATGAAAGAAGTCACTAATTATGTTGGTAACATTAATACTACAACTAACCACATATGTAACACATTTACACTAGATCTGTGCTTGGGAAAGGTTAAGTATGGAAGTAAAGACACTTCTTTTTATATGTTCGGTAGGTGTAATCCAGTCAAATTTGATTGAAGTGTACTGTGTGTGACGTTTGTATCATTAGAATTATGCCCATTGTCTATATTTGATGAATTATTATTATTATAATTATTGTTGTTATTATTATTACTGTCCGGATTTGGGAAATATGGTATTGAATTGTTACTGTTTGATGTCATAATCATTTGATTGGATTTAGGATATTTCCATCCTAAATTAGATTTCTGGTTACCTGTTACCATCATCATTGACTGAGAATTGTTGTTTGATGTTGTAGATGTAGTAGTGACTGGGATTGGTTGTAAATGTGGATTAGTTGGCAGAGCAGGCAGTCCTATTTGTGACGGCTACAACGATCATTTGATAAAGACAAATATGTAAATAAAGAACATAGAAAAAGGTCAAAGAATTATAGATTTTTTGGGAATATTTTAATTTCATGATACATTAAGACTGATATGCTTTAAAGAATGTCTAGATAACCAATTACAGCTAGGCGACGATTTGTTGATTGGATCATTCATGAATCTCAGTAAAAGTATGATATAGCGACAAGTTTGAAAGAATCTTAACAAAATCTAGTTGTTTTAAAGCTAACTTTGACCAATTAGCGGAGAGTCTGTATGAATCAAATGTATTTCACAACAGAAAGAATGTAACCTTTTCGAGCTCAGCGGTTTTGGAAATGTTTATTGCTTTTTTTGAAAGGTATATTATCAATTTCGTAAAAATACCGCCACATAACATCATTAATATGAGTGTGAATTGATTCACAACAATTCATTTTTTTCTGAATCTTTCTCATGTCTATTTGTGGAAAATCCATCATGACTTAAGAAAAACATTGAAAAATTCACTGCGATAACGAAAATTAAACCATAAGACAATAATCGTCACTATGTTGTTATGAAGAAGTCATGCGAGAAGTCGTTATGTAATTTCAGTATTCCTGTATTTTCACTTTAAGTGATCATTTTTTGTGAGTCTACTACAAATAAAGTAAATTGTGCCAAAAAAATGATAGGTTCCTGTGTTATTTAAAATCTCTACAA